CGAACCCGAACGCCCGAACGTACGGGACCCCTCGGGGTTGCGTTCGGCCGTTCTGAAAGGCCTTCCACGATTCAGACCCCAAATTCGGATCTCAGGGTCAGATGCCCAGGCCAAGAAAAGGCCGAGTTCGTCAAACTCAGAAAAGTCACAATCGGGTAACTCAGCAGTCTGGTCCAACAGGCACCCAGCAAACAGTCACGTCTCAGGGATAACAGTCATGTCTCATAATAAAAAGCCATTCAGAAGAGTCACATCCCACGAGTGAAAGGTAGATTCACCAAGCAACAGTCATATCTCAAAGGCAGGAGTCACGTTTCCTAATGAAAAGTCATATTGAAGAGTCACATCCCACAAGTAAAAAGGAAGTATCAGAGGCAAAAGTCGTGACCCACAGGCAGGAGTCACTCTCCACAGTCAAAAGTCATCTTCACAAGTGAAAAGTCATGACCCAAAGGCCCAATCAGCATCAGTCCAATGGAAATTCGGGAAGGTTCCAGGCCTTGACATTCAGAAGCAGACAGACCGTGGGGATGTGGTACCAGAACCAGTCAGGACCCAAGAAACAGAGGCTGTCACGAGTTGAAGTGCAAACCAAGAGTACAAAAGGACTGGCCAGCCTCACATTCGGGCAGATTGCTCGTTCGCAAAGAGTGTGGAAGTGCTGGTGCACTTGTGCGCTAATGTGAGCGGCAGAGCGCTGAAGCCAGAGTCCTGCAGAAAGAGGGAGAGAGAGAGAGGAAGACAGCGCTGGCAAGGAGAAGACAGCCATAGCTGCACCGGTGCAGAAGTGTTAGTGCTAGTTGTTAGTAGTAGACTCCAGAGGGGTTAGTAGAGTTGACAGTGGGTGTATTCAGAGTAGATACTTGAGTAGAAGTTAGTGAGTGTGCACGCAGGTCGGGAGAGAAGCCACAGCGAGGACATAGCTAGAGAGAAGACCAGAAAAGAGAGGAGTTACACAAGAGAGAAGAGCAGAGAGGAAGAGTTACTTACCTGCCTGAGAGTTCATGCTGGTTATTGGTTACCTGTGACATGCGCTAATGTGCGCTGGTGACTCGGAACTCTTATTGCTCTTGTGATAACTTGTTTGAATTTCATAAGCTGCGCTACCTGGTCTTAATCTCTCTGGTTCTTCAGTGTGAATCTCGTGTGATCTCATACATGCATGAGGTGATGGTGTGCGCTCAATGGTGTTGAACTAAGAGGTTCATTGCAGTTCAGGCCGAACGCAAGACCAGAAAAAAAAAAAAAAAAAAAAAAAAAAAAACCTGAAAAAAGTTTTAAAAACTATGTTATGAAGAAAAATAAACAACATTTGCCTGAGCATTACATCCAAATTCCTTACCAAATTTGAAATAAAAATAAAATACAGAAAATAAAGGTTTATAAAACTAATAATAAAATTTATAAAAATAAGAAAAAATGAAAAGAGAATTAAAATTAGTGAGTGAGCGAGTACGTTTTCGACACCGCCATCTTTGGTGATGTTTCATTTGTTTTTGGCAGTGACAAATGCCCTGAAAATTTACAAATGTGTACTTAACATAATACAAAACTCATTTAAAAAATTTCAAAAAATAATAAAATTGTTTGGGCCCCACAACTAGGCTACCAGAGTGGCCCGGGGTCACTTGCCCGGCCGGGCCAAAAACATTTAAAAAAATAAAAAATAAAAAAATATTTTTAAATTTTATATTTTATTTTAAATTTGGTGAAGAATTTCGATGTGACCCTGAGGCAAAAGTTGTTCAGTTTATTTTTCTGCATAACATAGTTTTTTTTTGTGAAGTTTTTGGATTTTTTTTTTTTTTTTTTTTTGGGCTGGGACCTTCCCTGGTCCTTGCACGGTCTGGCCACCCGAGACCCGGGCAGCCCGGCTGGTAGCCTAGCCCCACTATAAAGTGAAAACAAAAAGTAAAAAGTGAAAAACACAAAATACTAAAATAGTGAGTGGGCGAGCACGTTTTGACACCACCATCTTTGGCGACTTTTAATTATTGTTTGGCTCAGCAAAATGACTTCAAAATTGATCGGCATGTACCTCACATTATAGAGAACGCACAGAAAATAAATTCAGAAACAAAAACGTGGTTTTAGGCCCCGAAACAATTTTTGGCGGGGGCCGAACGCCTTCGGGTTCGGACCCCGAACGGGACCCTGAACGCCCGTACGTACGGAGGTCGGCCTGGGGACCTCCGTACGTACGGGCCGGTGACCCTGGTTATGGTTAATTTTTGCAAGTCCTCAAAAAAGAAAAAAAGGGGGGGGGGGGATTTTTTAAATGCCCCTCCGACTTCCATTTATTTGTGGTATGCCCCTCCGAGGGCCGACTTACCCTGCTGTGCCCCTGGGGCCTCTGAAGTTTCCTGCAGGCCCCTGTCAGTGAGGGGTGCAACTTTCCAGCATGCCCCTGAGGCCGTTGCTGGCACTCGCGACCATTCCCCTGGCCCTGGGAGAGGAGCTACCAGGGCATACTGGAAATTTGGAACCGCTACCAGCAGGTGCATATTGAACATATTTTAGGCCCAAACGACGCCAAGGGTGTTTTGGAAACTTCAATCATTGTCAGAAGGGCGCAACAGGGTAAGTCAGCCGTCAGAGGGGCATACTGCAAATAAATGGAACTCGGAGGGGCATTTCAAAAAAATTCCCAAAGAGAAAAGATACCAAAAAAAAGGATGCAATCCGACGCATACACTGCATAGAGATATGATGACATTTGGAGTTTACGACTTGACAAAGAAAAAGTTTCGATTCGGAGTTTGTGACTCCCTGCTCCAAAGGTAAGTTCATTGAGTTCATTCAGATGAATCATTTCGGATTCTGACTTCTGGTCAGAAACATTCAGGCGAATTGGTTCGTACTTGTGGTCATTTACTTTTCAGTGGTTTCTCAGTCTACAGGTGACTCCCTTCTTTTTCTATATCTATACTCTTACTGAAGCATGCAGCGGGTCTCGTTGTGTGGCGCCCTCGCGAGGCCCAGCTGCTGCTGTTAGGAAAATGCCCGGGACAGGGCGGGGCGGGCCCAGCAGAAACCGCTACTCGCCCGGCGGGCTTTTTCCCATGTTTAAATACAAGTACGGAGCAGGGCAGGTGCAGTGTTGGAAGTGATCGTTCGAAACCTGACCCAGGGGAGGTGTAGTGATGGAAGTGATCGTTCGGAGCCTCGCCCAGGGCAGGTGCAGTGTTCAGTGGGATCGTTTGAAGCCTCGCCCAGGGCAGGTGCAGTGTTGGAAGTGATCTTCCGAAGTCTCTCCACGCTACTCTCCACATGCAGCGGGTCTCGCGTGACGTCCCCGTGAGGCCCAGCTGCCACTGTTGGGAAAATGCTTGGGACAGGGGGGGGGGGGGGGCCAGCAGAAACCGCTACTCACGCGGCTCGCTTTTGCCCATATTCGAACACAAGTACATAGCAGGGCAGGCGCAGTGTTAGAAGTGATCGTTTGAAGCCTCGCCCAGCTACTCTCCACATGCACAAAAGACAAAAAAAATGGTGATGTGTCTTTCCATGTTCTAGCGGAAACTTCGTTTATATTTTGCACATTTGTGCTGAGCAGACGTGGTTTCTTTTTTTTTTGGTTGTTTTCTTCACGTGTAGCAGGGCCAGGAGGTTTGCTCCACGGCTCTCCACATGCACAAAAAGACAAAAAAACAATTGGTGGCCGGAGCACGTAAGCACATGGTAGGAGTGTTTCTGTTGTGTTGGCGCAGTTTCGTTCTTTCTTTTTGTCATTTTGTGGTGCACTTGCAGAGTTCACCCGTCTATGCCCTTTTTTTTTTTGTCCTTTTGTCGTCGGTTTATCTTTCCATGTTGTAGGGGAGGATTTATTCTCCTGTTGGACATTTGGTGAGTGGCGAGGCCAGGGCCCGACTCCACGACTGCCCACATGCACAAACGACAAAAAAAAATGGGCTTAGTATCTTTCCATGTTCTACTGGAGGATTCTTAGAGGCTCATCACACAGGCTGTTGAAACTCAAACTCTTTGAGTTTCGACAGCTGTCAGAAAAAAATCGAAAGTCGGCGGTCTACAGTTTACCGCCCCTTTGCTGCACAGGCTGTCGAGGGGCAAGGTTTTTGGTCATGGCCAAATGGACTCCACCTGCCTTTCCACAGGGCACGGCCGTCACAGAACAGTCCCCCTGACAATGCAAATGCAAATTCAAACGCAATTCTCGAAAGACAGGTGGGTGGGGCACTTTCGAATTTCCGTCTCCTGCAGGCAAGGCGGGAGGAAACGAATGGGGGAGAGGGTGGCTGTCGAGCGTACCATTCTGACACCTGTCGAAATATTTTTGAACCGCAATTCTTCGAAAGTCTGTGTGGCGATGCAAATTTGTTGAAAACCTGGTTTTCGACAGCCTGTGTGGGGACCCTCTTAGTCGTGGAGCAAGGGCCTGGCCTCGCCACTAACCGAATGTCCAACATGAGAACGAATCCTCCTGTAGAAGATGGAAAGATACACCACCAATTTTTTTTGGGTCTGACGGCCTTGAGGTCTGATCGTCGAACTGACCAGCCCTAGGTAACTCAGAATTGTATGTAGTATTTGACTCATCTGCTTCCAGTGGAGTTCGAACTCAGGGGTCTGTATTTCAACAATTCAGTTCAGGGGTGTACCAACTGAGCCGGACCAGTTGGTGGATGCTGCGTATGGGGCTGGCTTTGCGTTTTTTTTTTTTTTTTTTTTTTTTTGGCAAAACCGAAAAGGCCTATACCACCTGCCCCGCATGACATGGCCCTCCTTCATGGTTTCATCTCCTCCCCGCCTCTGGGCCGCGGTGGGTCCGACTTGTGTTGGAAAGCCCCTAACCTTACTGTGTTCATCTGATTCTCGCAGGCCTCGAACTCGCATTCTGTTTACTAGCAGTTCCTGTGTTACATGTGCGTATCATTCACACACTTGGGATGGGTACACATAATCCCTCTTCCTCCTACTCGCTCTTCCTTCCTTTGGAATTATTTATGTTTTTTGCTTGAGCCCTTAGTGCTCTTTACCTGATCAACCATGGCAATTGATTCGCCGGCAACGATGCATATCCATTTTCTGCGTGAATCTGGATGTGTTTTGTGCAGAGATGCAGAGAAGCACATGCTTGACCCTTCTTTAGTACTCTTTACCTGATCAACCATGACAACTGATTCGCCAGCAACAATACATGTGCATTTTCTGAGTGAATCTGGATGTGTTTTGTGCAGAGATGCAGAGATGCAGAGAAGCAGATCAATCAGGTGAATGGGCATGCTTAAGCGTTCTTTAGTAGTCTTTACCTGGTCAACCATGACAATTGACGAACGATGCAATCCATTTTCTGACTGAATCTGGATGTTTTTGGTGCAGAGATGCAGAAAAGCAGATCAATCATGCTGGAGCCTTAGTACTATCTTTACCTGATCAACCATGACAATTGATTCGCCGGCAACAATGCATATCCATTTTCTGTCCACCTGATTGAGGACACGTGCACTCGCCAACCACTCTCGCTCTACAGCAAAGGGCACCAAAGGCTCCATGCAGCTCACGGTCAGACTGGGCGACTCGATGTCGAGAATATCAATCTCTCGATCGTCTTGCCAAAGGAAAGGGCTCTCGGATTTCTCCAGACAAAAAGAAAAAGAAAAAGAAAAAGAAAAAAAAGGTCAATATGAATGTACACAGAAACAAGTGCAGACACGTCAAGTTTTGAGTTAAAAAAGGCAAAAAAAAACACAAATTGTGATTCCAGCACGGAGCGACTTTGAAAAGGCAAAAAAAAAGAACATGAAAAGGAAATTATTCCCATTCTCAGTTTCGGTTTCAAGCAGATGCATTCAGCATTGGAACCTCTCATAGAAGCGAAAACAAACTTAGCCAAATACAGAAAATGAAAGGTAACTGCACTATGGTAGAATACCAACCAGGAAACTATCCAAAATTCAAAATATATACACGCATGCACCGTACACATCCGCAGGACACACAAACTCATGGAGAGAGAGAGAGAGAGAGAGAGAGAGAGAGAGAGAGAGAGAGAGAGAGAGAG